GGGTCCCAGGAGCCTGCAGGACTCTATTCCCATATGGTCAGGCGCCTCCTCCCTGGCTCTTAGACTCTTTCTGCCCCCTCTTCCACAAGGTCCCTTGAACTTACATTGTCTCCTTGTTTTATTTCTAAGGTCAAAAGATAATATCAGTGGCCAAAACCACACCCTGAACCATGGATGATGGGCTATGGCCACAGAATCAGTGCAGCTGATTCTAAGGAAGAAGTGAGGACAGATGTGAGATTAATCAGACCTTTAACTCTAGCTGGCACTATTGACCCAAGCCCTGAGCAGTCTCCTTGGAAACTGGACTAAGTTGTGAAGCATCCCGAGGACATATTTGGATTGGAAAGATGTCTGGCCTCCACCACCTCTCCATTAGGCCGCATAGTGCTTCCTGCTCACCCTTCACGGTGTGTAGCCAGATAGGTCTGTCTAAGCGCTGTGCAGCCTCAAGCCTGTTGTACTACCCTAGCTGCCTGAGAGCTTCAAGAGGTGGCAAAGAGAAACCCAAGGAAAACCTGATACTTCACCAAAGAGCCTTGAACCTTCTCTTCTGTCCACACAGACGAGGTAGATAATCTTTGGGGGATTCTAGAGGCCAGAATTCTCACCACATCACCACATCAATTGTCTGTAAATGAATAAAGTCCTTAACGGATGCATGATCACTGAGACAGATGGAACCTGCACTAGCACACAATGTCCTGAATGTCAACCAGCTGAGCTGCAGACAGAGGCAAATTAGAATCCCGCAGAGAGAGAGACAGAGCAGGCTCTCCAGTCAGCAACAGAGCAGAAGTCACTCTCCTGATGATGTGGCCCCCAAACACAGCATGGGGTAGCATGCACAATGTGATTTGGGGGCCGCTGCTGCAGAGAGCATTTTTGGATGTTGCTCCCAGCTAAGACGGCCTCTGTGGCTCAACCGTGAGAGTGAAACTAGAATTAATATAAAATAAAAGGTGTTGTATTGACCGTAGCCTCAATACCATTCGTCTTCACTTGGATGGTTAGAACAGGAAGGAAGGGAAAATAAAGGGGACGGTCTTTTCGTTAGCTGCTCAGCTCCCTGGAAAGGACGCACTAGGTAAGGCAGGCACAAGCACGCCCAGGCCAAAAAAATGTGTGTTTTACAAAGACATAAGGAAATTTATGTAGACTCTCTACCTAGAAAATATTCTCATAAAACATGCAAAGCCCTTTTGTTCCAATTCCTTGCTTCAGACAACCATTTGATTATTAATTAAATCAGCATTATGGTTTTAAAATGAGACCGTCACGATTTCCTTACCTTTAATCAAAACTCCAGGGCTTAGTCACCTCAAGGGGCACTGACAAAATTGAATTCTTTGAGCTGTAAAGGTGCAGGGCCCCAAACGCTGCTGTTTCTTTCCTTCTAAGTCCCCCACCGTGAGTAGCAGCCCAACCACTTGGCCCTCCAATTCCTTTCTCACTAATCAGCTTACTGGTGATATTAGCAAACATTCCAGGGTCTACAGACCACTGACTGGGTATTTGCTGTGGACCCTCAGAAAACAAATGAAGAAATTGTTTCTCTAGGTTAGGAAAGATTATAGTCAATAAGGCCTACATCATTAAGAGAGAAGGCAGAATAATCTTAAACTAAGACCCAGCCTGAGCTGTTCGTTAACTGCCACATATTCGATGTAATCACTGAATTGGTCTTCTTTCACCTCAGTTAAACATCTATGTTACAACTCCATAGCCAGAATGTGAAGAAAGGCCGTAAAGGCTGAGCAAAGACATCACCTTATAGCTTAAGCATTTCACTAATGGGCTTTGTGTTTTCCAGCTGTGAATCTGGATCCTAGTCCCAGAGCAGGCAATGTGTACAGCAAAGGCTCAGGACTCTAGGAAGGCAGTGACCTTTGACGGACATTCACCCTCTTAGTGGATCTGAGGAGCCATCCTCTGGGAAGAGCTTTGACAAACTCAAGTAAACATGGGAAAGCCATACCCTCTTCTCTTTAGAAGACTGTTTATCTGTCCACCCCTCTGTCAGCGTGAATCTACTCTCAGGCAAGGAGCCCTAGGCTATGTGTACATTTGTCCTTTGTTCCATAAAAGCAGGCCTTGGACAAAGAATGCATTCCTGCTTTCTTTGTCAATTTTTCCATCAGACCTGCTTGCCTTTTGTCTGACTCTACACTGTCTACCTCCTGATCCACAGGCCTCTGCACAAACCTTTTTTCCTGATAATCTCCCTCTCTCTCAGAGTTATGTGTAGTTTCTGATCACATTTGGCATTCTCCCTGTGCTCCAAACTGCCTCACGTTTTCTTCACCTCTTCCTCTGGTTCATATTCAGTTTTTTAAGATGGCTTTCAAATCAGTATCAGTTCAGAAAGCAAGCAAGTCGGAGTGTCCAAAGGGTGAGTGGTGTGGATGGTGTTCTATCTAGTACACTGAGGTACAGAATCAATTATCAGATGTCAGTAGTCTGGGATGGTAGGCCACAACTAGCAAGATGTGATAGATCGGAGAGAAACCTGAGTTCCTATATTTAGATTAAAATTGATGAATGAGCAAAGCCCTCCATGATGGATACTCTGTGGTTATGTTAGGACATTGTGACTCAGAGGTCACAGGAGACAGTGCTATGATGCAGGACAGGGTGGGTCACAGCACCTACAGTTATAAATGCACTCAGGATGCAACATTTGTTGCAGAGCACCTTTGCTAAGGGAGGCCACCACCCTGTGTCCACATCCTCAGAGTTGACATGATCTTATCTGGAGTATGTATCGGGTCCAGTGCATCACATTTGAAGAGAAACATTGACCAGTGAGATGAAGCCAGAGGACAAAGCCCCACAAGGAGAGGATTCCTGGTACTGTGTCTGAAGAGGAATCACTCAACAAGTGGGCATGTTTACCTGGGAGTAAAAAAAAGCTGTTGTCCACTACTTAAATGGCCATCAGAAGACCAGTAACCACAAAGTTAAAAGAGACTGGGAGAGGACTTGGATGAGAAAAACAAGGCGTGCGTTTTTGGAAAAAAGAAAAACTTGAAGTACAACAGTGCCTCTAGAAATATGACCTGGCCTTAAGCTGGAGGGAACCTAGGGATTGGGAAGTCCAAGCATGGGGTCTGCCAGATGCTGTCGGAAATGCCTAAAGAAATACTAGTGCCTAGGGGCAGGTGGCAGCTCAGCTTTGTTGGTTTACATGATCCCTGGGGGGCGGGTCTTGGTTTCAGCAGAAATAGGGCTAACACGGGGGTGGCAGATTTTTCTGGGTTGTGAAAGAATCTTCAAATGTTTAGGACTCCTAAACAGAGAATAAGCTCACTACCCATTCTGAGCAATGGGAAATAATCAAGATAATGTTGGGTGATAATGCCCTAGACAGGAGAGAAAGCGTTTCTTCTTTAGGTACATGCTGGACCAAATCATATGACAAAAGTGCTTTCCAGTTTACAAAGTGCATCTCCATCACCTCATGTTGAAAGTTCTTGAAACAGCCCTTTGACGTAGAAGAGCGGATGTTTCCATCTTACAAACAAACAAGATGTTCGGCTGACCTATTAACTGACTCAGAGGAAGCAGACCGAGCAGCAGACCTGGGACTAGACAAGTCAGGACCTCTCAAAGCGTTCAGACCTGTCTTCACTCCTGCCTCCCAGTCAGGCTCTGCCTGCCTATGTGCTCTCCCCGACCTCTTCACGGGACTTTCTCACCTCAACCCACATTCCTGAAGTTCCCTGCACATTTCCACATTCCTGGCTCCTCCATGTCTCCCTGGAAGCTGGTCTCCTTTGCAGTTTCTTTCTTTCTCCTTTTTTTTCTTTTCTTTTCTTTTTTTTTAAATAAGGTCTCACTATGTAGACCAGACTGACCTCAAACTCACAGAGATCCACATGCCTCTGCTTCTGAGGTGCTGGGATCAAGGACATGTACCACCATGCCTAGCTTTCTTTACAATTTCTTGTTGAATCTCTCCCAACCTGATTCTGTCAACCTTGAGAATATTCCCCCAACTCTAAGTGCTCCAACCTGGACTTGCCCTTGACATGTATCCAAAACACACACTTCTCAGTAGCTCTTACATGTTTGTTTGTCTATGCAAAGCTAAAAATCTGTCTTAATTTACACACACACACACACACACACACACACACACACACACACACACGCGCGCACCCCAGTTGGTACCTGACCAGTGAATCATCTGATTATTATAACCTCTAGACTTGTAGGCCAATCAAGAAGAGATGCTGTCAGATGTGGCTCCTAGTTACCTCATTCATCTGTATTTCCTTCCAGAAAAGGTTGCTGTAGTTCAGCCTCACCAATGACAATTTGAAATATGCCATTATTCTTTGAGATGAACATTATCTAGGAAGCAGGGAGAGGGGAAGGGGGAAAGAGAGAGAGAGAAAGAGAGATTGAGAAACAGAGACACAGAGAGACAGGGCGGGACAGTTACAAAATGCAGAGAAACCGCAGACTGAGCAAAGCTTCCAAATGGCTCAGTTTGGCTACAAGAGGCTCTTTAAAATGCCAGTCTTTCCTCCTTGTTGGCTGGTGGACGTATAGCCAAGTGCAATGACACTTTCTAACACACTGTATTTAAACCCGGGCAGCCAGATGTCAGTTAGGGTGAGATAAATCATTACAACTTACATCCACCCTCTAAAACGAAAGATAAAATACATAGAAAGTGAGCCAGACGCACAGAATTAAGTGAAAGGAGAAATCTCAAGAATGCTCCTGCATTCAGCCAGAACCAGCAGGCTGTTTTTGTTTGGTTCAAATTGTTTTGTTGTGTGGATCTAGCTGGTCAAATGACCAGTTAAGAATATTTCATAGAGTGAATGTTCCAATGCTCTAATCTCCCCAGACAAGGTTCATATTTGTGTAGGTTACTTATTCTCCCATTGTTGACTAAGTCAATAATCAGAATCAGCAGGTTTGGAGTCAGACTGGCAGGGATCAGCAGCCTGGCTTGGGAGAAGGGGATATAAAAGCCCCTCAGCCTGGGAGCAGCCATCACAGAAGTCCACTGGGTCCTGGGTCCTAGCAGGATGGCTTCCCATCGGCTGTTCCTCCTTTGCCTCGCTGGGCTGGTATTTGTGTCTGAGGCTGGCCCTACGGTAAGTGATCCTGTGAAGCCCTTTCCAGACATTGCAAATGTACATTAGGTGAAAGGGAAGAGGCTTCCTCCAGCTTTAGAACAAGTGTGGGTTATTAGGCAAGGATACCCATTGTCTACGTCTCATAGCATGGATTCAAACTTCAAAAAGAAGAGTTTGCTGAGCTGGGGTTTAGACCCAGGCTCTTTCTCCCATTGCTTTGGTGCGCTGAGTTTGTAATGTTTAGCACCTCAATATTCTTAGGTAATGAACATGAAATAAACACAGAAACAAGGATGCGAAAGGACTGGGGATGTAACTTAGTGTGGCGCTCATGCCTAGCTTGTGGAAGGCCCTGTGTACGATCTCCAGCAGTAGAAAACAGACAGCATCAATGAAACTGCTCATACTGAATTCTCCAGAAGTATATTTAATGTATTTAGTAGACATGTTGCACAAGATCATATTTGGGTTCTTTGACTAATCAAAATGTATTTATTGATTATTTATTTCGGCACGCTATTCCAATATCTGATTGAGTCCTTTAGAAGAATTAACTGGTACGGTGGAGCAATACGTAGTTGAGCATTGTTCTACAATGACTAGAGGGACCTGCCACAGCAACAGCTGCTTAAAATGGTCCAAAAAAATAACAATTCTATCTTTGAGCACTTTGCATCTTTTCAGTAATTCTGCTCAATAGAGAGGGCCCATTTTCCCTTTGAAAATTCCTTATGTGTGTCCCTGGTCAGCGGCAGTATGTCTGGAGGCAGAAACCATTCTTGTTTTGGAAACAATTGTGTCTGTGTTATTCTGAATAGGGAAGCTCATTAACTGTTGACACTTACATTAGTGGTAATGGAATCAGCATGTACTTCTAGCTTTGTTCCGGATTTTAACACCAGAAAGAATAAACTGGTTCACTCTGATCAGTTTCTCTGACATCTCACTTGTCTTCTCTACACCCAGGGCCCTGGAGAACCCAAATGTCCTCTGATGGTCAAAGTCCTCGATGCTGTCCGAGGTAGTCCTGCTGTCGATGTGACAGTGAAAGTGTTCAAAAAGGCTGCTGATGGGACCTGGGAGCCCTTCGCTGCTGGGTAAGCTGCCACAGCCCCCAGCTATATTGTAGGTTTAAAATGTGGGCAGGGATCAAGAACCATGCTTCCTTGCTTTGCTTAGCTGAGAATGACTGGGAACCAGAGTGCAGTCTAGGGCTGATGGTAGAAAAAAAGCAAAGAAATCTGTAGCTCTACCACTTTAGGAGTTTGCAGCCCTCTCATGCCGCAGCCAACTTGAAGGTGATGAAAATTATAGGCTCCAGAGACTGAGGAGATGGCTCAGTTGGTAAAGTGCCTGTCCCCTAAACACGAGGACTTGAGTTTGAATCCCCGGAATCCACGTAAAAAGCCAGGCATGACAATGCATACCTGTAACATCAGCCTCAGCATAGGAGGTTGGAGAGAGGAGGATTCATGGTGTTTCTTGGACAGCCAGCATAGCTGGATAGATTTCATGTTCAGTGAGAGATCCTGTCTCAGATAATGAAGGTGGCTGGGTATGATGGTACATATCTTTAATCCCAGCACTTGGGAGGCAGAGGCAGGTGGATCTCTGAGTTTGAGGCCAATGTCCTGGTCTACATAGCAAGTTCCAGGCCAGCTGGGGCTACAGGGAAACCCTGTCTCAATAAATAAATAAGCAAATAAGTAAATAAAGAGAGCAATGAAGGAAGATACAGGACTTTGACCTTGGGCCTCTGCACATACATGCACATGTGCATACGCCACACACATACACACCACACACATACACACCACCACCCATACAGATGTACACGTACTCACAAAGTAAAAAAGTTATAGACTCCATGTCCACAAAAAGGCAAAAAGACCACATGCATAGGACACCGTGCATTTAATTTCCAGAGTTTTACAGATTCCCCTGTATCACCCCTGGGTGGTATTCAAGTTTTGAGTCCTTGTTTTAAAATTTTAGGAAAGATGTGCGTGTGTGTCAATTTATTACTGAAAGGAAAAGAACTGGCAAGCTGCTCAGAGCTTATGGGATTGCCCAGATCAGAGGCCTTTTCTAATGAACACTCAGAAGACCAGTTCTGTGCAAGCTAGAGGCTGTCACACTTCGTAAGAAACACATGGAAGGACACCCACACAGCTAAACCCTGCTGCGGATTAACCTCACAATCACGCACCACCCCTCACCTGCCACCTATGCAAAAACGACTTTTCACCTACATTACCCACTTTGCAATTTTTGTTGTTTTTTAATGGCGACGAGCAAGAATTCCAAAGACACACAGTGGTGAAAGCAAGCTTAGGAGTGACTAAGCACCCCAGCACTGAGCGGAAGAGGAACGCTCAGCATTTGTGTGTCCTGGGTGAAGAATTTCTGCCAGGTTTTAAATGAATCCCAAGAACCACGTAAAGTTGTTCACCCATCGTTGGGAAGATCATTTTCTTTGGTGTGGTTTTAGTTGCACTTTTACTTGTTAACTGATGTGTGCTCACATAAATGCCAGACACAACATGCAGAGTGGTTAAGGGATCTTCCAAATGTGACTAGAATTGACACCAACAGTTTTCAGGTTTCCTTCTCAACCTTTTTTCTTGTACCAAGGCCAAGGATTGCATGGTCAAAGTCACTAAACAACTTCCATTTTTAATCTGTCTTCGTTGTCAGCAAATGGGGAGAGATTTCTAACGTTTCGCATTTTGAGCCTGTGCCCGTATGGAAAGGGATTTGTCGCTGGCAAAGAATTACCAAACAAATTCAACACATAAAAGGGAAAAAAAGTCAGTTACATGTTCTTTGTACAGTAGGTTTTCTGCTATGACAAATGAAACCATCTCCAGAAGTTGCCTTATCATGTGGTACTGGACTGTCACTGGACTGTCACAGGTGACTATAGAGTTAGAGCAGCTTATAATACTCTCAGGAACAGTCATGAATTTCATCCAGCCTGAATCTCTTTCTCTCTCTCTCTCTCTCTCTCTCTCTCTCTCTCTCTCTCTC